TTGTTACATAGGGCCTTTACTTTTGAGGTGTACTCCTTCTAATTTGTTGAGAGCTTTTATTGTGAAAGTATGTTAAATTTTGTCAAATGCTTTTTCTGCATCTATTGAGATGATCATATGGTTTTTGTCTTTCATTCTGTTCATGTGGTATATTATATTTATAGATTGGCGTATGTTGAACCATCTGTGAATCCCTGACATAAATATTACTTGGTCATGGTGATTAATCTTTTCAATGTGCTGTTGAATTGGTTTACTAGTATTTTGTTGAAAATTTTTGCATCTTGACCAGGCATTGTGGCTCACACTTGTAATCTCAGCACTTTTAGGTGGTCAAGGCCTGAGGCTGGCTTGACCCAGGAGTTCGAGACCAGCCTGGACAACATAATGGGACCCTGCCTAGACGAATAATTTTTTGTTTTTAATTAGTTGGGCATGATGGTGTGCACCTGAAGTCCCAGCTACTCAGGAGGCTGAGGTGGAAGGATCACCTGAGTCTGAAAGGTCAAGGCTGCAGTGAGCCATGATTGCACCACTGCACTCCATCCTGGGTAACAGAGGGAGACCCTGTCTCAGAAAAAAAAAGAATTTTTGCATCTGTGGTCATCAGAAATATTGACCTGTAGCTTTCTTTTTTCTTTTTTTCCATATTTGCCACAGTCTAATTGACAAGTTTTCTTTAATAGTGTCCTTGTCTGGCTTTGGTGTCAGGGTAATGCTGGCCTTGTAAAATGAGTTTGGAAGCATTCCTTCCTCTTCAGTTTTTTGGAAGAGTTTGAGAAGGGCTGGTATTCTTCCTTTTTTGAGATGGGGGTCTTGCCCTGTTGCCCAGGCTGGAGTGCAGTGGCACTATCACGGCTCGCTGCAGCCTTCACCGCCTGGGCTGAATTAATTCTGCCACCTCAGCCTCCCGAGTAGTTTGGACCACCAACATGTATCACCACACCCAGCTAATTTTTTATTTTTTGTAGAGACAGATTATCCCTATGTTGCCCAGGCTGGTCTCAAACTCCTGTGCTTAAGCAATCCTACCACCTAAGCCTCCCAAAGTGCTGGGATAACAGATGTGAGCCACCGTGCCTGGCCGTAGTTCTTTAAATGTTCGATAGCGTTCAGCAGTGAAGCTGTCAGGTTCTGGGTCTTTTATTTGATGAGAGACTTTTTTTCTTTTAAATTAATTAATTAATTTTTTATTATTATTATACTTTAAGTTCTAGGGTACATGTGCATAACGTGCAGGTTTGTTACATAGGTATACTTGTGCCATGTTGCTGTGCTGCACCCATCAACTCGTCAGCACCCATCAACTCATCATTTACATCAGGTATAACTCCCAATGCAATCCCTCCCCCCTCCCCCCTCCCCATGATAGGCCCCGGTGTGTGATGTTCCCCTTCCCAAGTCCAAGTGATCTCATTGTTCAGTTCCCACCTATGAGTGAGAACATGCGGTGTTTGGTTTTCTGTTCTTGTGATAGTTTGCTAAGAATGATGGTTTCCAGCTGCATCCATGTCCCTACAAAGGACACAAACTCATCCTTTTTTATGGCTGCATAGTATTCCATGGTGTATATGTGCCACATTTTCTTAATCCAGTCTGTCACTGATGGACATTTGGGTTGATTCCAAGTCTTTGCTATTGTGAATAGTGCCGCAATAAACATACGTGTGCATGTGTCTTTATAGCAGCATGATTTATAATCCTTTAGCTGGAGGCATCACGCTACCTGACTTCAAACTATACTACAAGGCTACAGTAACCAAAACAGCATGGTACTGGTACCAAAACAGAGATATAGACCAATGGAACAGAACAGAGTCCTCAGAGGCCGGGCGCAGTGGCTCACGCCTGTAATCCCAGCACTTTGGGAGGCCGAGGCGGGCGGATCACAAGGTCAGGAGATCGAGACCACGGTGAAACCCCGTCTCTACTAAAAATACAAAAAATTAGCCGGGCGCGGTTGTGGGCGCCTGTAGTCCCAGCTACTCGGGAGGCTGAGGCAGGAGAATGGCGTGAACCCGGGAGGCGGAGCTTGCAGTGAGCCGAGATCGCGCCACTGCACTCCAGCCTGGGCGACAGAGCGAGACTCCGTCTCAAAAAAAAAAAAAAAAACAGAGTCCTCAGAAATAATACCACACATCTACAGCCATCTGATCTTTGACAAACCTGAGAGAAACAAGAAATGGGGAAAGGATTCCCTATTTAATAAATGGTGCTGGGAAAATTGGCTAGCCGTAAGTAGAAAGCTGAAACTGGATCCTTTCCTTACTCCTTATACGAAAATTAATTCAAGATGGATTAGAGACTTAAATGTTAGACCTAATACCATAAAAACCCTAGAGGAAAACCTAGGTAGTACCATTCAGGACATAGGCATGGGCAAAGACTTCATGTCTAAAACACCAAAAGCAACCGCAGCAAAAGCCAAAATTGACAAATGGGATCTCATTAAACTAAAGAGCTTCTGCACAGCAAAAGAAACTACCATCAGAGTGAACAGGCAACCTACAGAATGGGAGAAAATTTTTGCAATCTACTCATCTGACAAAGGGCTAATATCTAGAATCTACAAAGAACTCAAACAAATTTACAAGAAAAAAACAACCCCATCAACAAGTGGGCAAAGGATATGAACAGACATTTCTCAAAAGAAGACATTCATACAGCCAACAGACACATGAAAAAATGCTCATCATCACTGGCCATCAGAGAAATGCAAATCAAAACCACAATGAGATACCATCTCACACCAGTTAGAATGGCGATCATTAAAAAGTCAGGAAACAACAGGTGCTGGAGAGGATGTGGAGAAATAGGAACACTTTTACACTGTTGGTGGGATTGTAAACTAGTTCAACCATTACGGAAAACAGTATGGCGATTCCTCAAGGATCTAGAACTAGATGTACCATATGACCCAGCCATCACATTACTGGGTATATACCCAAAGGAGACTTTTTTTTTTTTTGAGGCTGAGTCTCACTCTCACCAGGCTGGAGTACAGTGGTGCGATCTCGGCTCACTACAACCTCTGCCTTCCGGGTTCAAGTGATTCTCTTGCCTCAGCCTCCCAAGTAGCTGGGACTACAGGTGCGCGCCACAACACCCAGCTAATTTTTGTATTTTTAGTAGAGACGGGGTTTCAACATGTTGGCCAGGATGGTTTCGATCTCTTGACCTTGTGATCTACCCACCTCAGCCTCCCAATGTGCTGGGATTACTGATTCAATCTCCTTTTTTTTTAAGGCTTAAAATGTATTTTAACAAGTGATGCTGCATTGCTGCTCCATTTCTCAGAAAAACTTCAAATTTAAGGTATTAGCAACAAATCAAACATAGTACATCAATTAAATATGCACAGCATAACTACTAAGTAAGATAGGCAAGGCTAAGAGCTGCTCTCAGACCTTCAGCATCCAGCAACCCTGTTTCTAAGACTGTACTAGGCCTATCAAGGAAAGCTGTGAATAGCAACATCATAGACACAAAAGGGCCATTCCTGGGTTGTCCTCATCCAAGAAAAAGATGGAGGCAAGTTAACACAAGATTTTTAAAAAGATATACTGAAATGAATCTCTAAGAGAAAATGTCTTCCTTAGGACATGAAGGGGATAATATATGGGATATAAAAGAATTATACGTACATTGTTTGTGACCTCTGTGGACATTTGCCTGAATTCTCACCTGGGAGTGAATGGAGCAGTGGGGCGAAGGGCATTGGAGGAGGTTTGTTTTTTGTGGTGTATGTGTGGTGTCTCTGGGGTTGGTTAGTGTATGGATAAGAAAGCAAATGAAACAGGATGGAGAAAAAAGGAATCATCAAGATTAATGGGTCTCTAACTGGATTCATTTCACCGTGGTTCCCCCACGTCTTCAACAGTCGCATTTGAGACTTCAGTAATGCACCACAGAGAATTTTCAGTTAAACAGTATACCACACAGAACTGGTTTGTTAAATACCACTCCTCCCTTGCTCTCTTCCTCCAAAATACTCCCTAGAGTAGTGTAGGTAGCGTAGACCTAACTATCGGGAGGAATCTCACTTTTCTAGGGTAGAATTCTGGCTAGTCCAAATAGGGTCCTCTTAAAGGTTTTCAGGAACTAGACACTGTAACTTTATTAGTATCAGCAACGTGTGTTTGGAGGAAATTCAGCTTCAGGAGTTGCACAGTTCAATGCAGGAGGAGTTCCACCAATTGCCCCAATTCCTTCCATTGCAGCAGCTTGGCCAAAGCATTCCATCGTTGGTGAGGTCAATTAGCATCATAGGTTCAGGTTCTGGAAGAGCTGGGGTAACAGCTGGCACAAAAGCAGGGGGCATGGTGCCTCTGTTATGCCCGTAGCACCTCCCGCAGCCATCTGGCACAGCTGTCTCTCCTGCTGTCTCATATCAGAGAAGGTTCCGGTGAATCTTTCCTGCCATTACCAGTGCATCACTTCCTTCTAGTGCCTGCACTCCTCTCGCATGGGCTCCAGTTGCCGTCGTTTTTGCATCTCTTGGTTGTTCAGCTCTTCCATCCTCCACAGCTCTTCTTGGCACCTCATCAAATCCTGCCTCATTAGCATGACCTGGCATTGATGAAGGCAAGCAACCCCCATCTCCATCTCCAGCTTCTCATGAGCCTCCTTGATATTGTGATCCACTTCGTCCTGCTGCTGCTTCTCCATCTCAATGAGCACCCTCCAGTGCATGCCATACTCATATTCAAAAGCCATGCTGTGCATACTGGGGTGGCTGTTCTCACTCCTTGTGAAATTGCTGATTTTTTACAACCAGCTTCTCTGGAAGTCCTTCTTTGTCACCTAATTAGCCTATGGGCTACCCAGTAACAGGATGAGGAAATGTGGTTAGCAGGAAGCAGCCTGTACTTTCTGAGCAACTGGCTGCCCTGAGAACTCAACAGTGCCTTTCCCTGAGGGCCTTCCTTGATTATCCACAGTGACTACAGCCCCCTCCACCTGGCCAAATAAAGAAAAGGCTTCTTCCAAAAGTTTGTTAGAAGGTTTCGGACTGTAAGGGATGCACTGTGGCAGGCAGAGTGCACACAGCTGCATATTGTCCAGACCCACTTTGGCAATCTCTACTAGGGTTTGTGCTTCCAAGTGCATAAAGTCAAAGCCTTTATCCTTATGAAGACCTCACCTGCCTTCCCATGTTTCTTTTTTGTTGTTATTGTTTTTAATTTTTTAATTTTTCCTTTTTGTTTATTTAAATCCTCTTTCTGTGAAATTGCCTTCCCGTATTTCTCACATTTCCTCATTTCCTCCTCAGTGATGTGAACACTTCCCACAAAGAAATAGCTTTGTTTGGTGAAGGGCTTCTTTCCTGGTTTCCTAAAATGCTTCGGGTCAATAGTCAAGCCTTCATTTTGGCTGCTGGCCTTTTTCCCATTTGCAGGTATTGGCAGCAGCGATGGCTGCTGCTGTTGCTGGGGATGCTAATAATGTTTCCCTAGAGCATGGTTTTGCTCCAAGTTAAAAGTTGTACTGCTTCCCTACCTACTGTCCTCTCCTCAGAGTAAAGGTGACCCTTATTTGCTATTGGTCTGTTTAGATTTTCTGTTTATGATTCATTCTTGGTAGGTTGTATGCGTCTGGAAATCTGTCCACTTCTAGGTGATCCAATTGTTGGCATATAATATATAATTGTTCCTAATAATCTCCTTTGATCCTTCGTATTTCTGTGGTATCAAACGATTTTTATTTTCTGCCTTCCTGACTTCCTTCCCACCTGTCTCCCTCCCTTCCTGAATAATTCAGGACAAAAGCCATTTGCTTGTTCTGTATCAAGTGCAAGAAGATGTTACCACAGGGGGCAGTGGTAGTGGCCTAGTGTAGGGCTGCAGTGTGGAGCCTGAGGAGAACGTCTGAGGGCAGCAGGGAGGGGACTGTGAATAATGAGGCAGCAATAGATTGGTTATTTTTGAGGAGGACTGAGTCAAATTTCTTTTTTCTTTCTTTTTTCTTTTTTTTTTAAGTGCGTGTCTGTGTGTGTGTGTGCCAAAAATTTATTTGTTCATTTCTTGCATTTGAAGTACTCTTCAATGACGTCCTTGGCCTGAGACTCCTTGCCATAGTTCTTAACTACTACACAACTTCAACCAACCACTTTACGGGGTTTCCCCTCTGTCAGTTTTACAGAGGCCTGCCCATTCTCCTAGTTTCTTGTCATCAACCTTAATTAGGTTGATTTGGTGTTCAGCACAAAGGGCCTCCACCAACTGGACATACATAGGCTCATCACAGTTGGATGCAAGCACACACAGCACCCAAAGATGGGCTTGGCACTTGTCTAAGCCTTTGGCAGCTTTGCAAATTTCACGTGCTAGGCCATCATGGATGACGGCAGTCTTCAGCACCTCCTGTAAAACAGTATTAATGTCCACTGCACCTCCAGCAGCACTGCCTTCCTCCGCCATGGCAGTGGGTTACAAGTGAAGCCAAATCTTGAATGCACCCGAGACTCCACCTCTGTACAACTCGGTGGCGGCAGAGAAAAAGCAGGAGCCAGATTTCTTATAGTCAGAGAAGAGAATTACAAATTTGGAAAGGCTGAAAACTAGAATAAGGTTGGAATTGGAAGTACTGGTATAAACTCTTACAGCTTTCAGTATGTGTAGATACAGAGACGTATAGGTGTATGTGTGTGTGTGTGTGTGTGTGTGTGTGTGTGTGTGTGTGTGTGTGTGTGCATGCACATGCATTCATGTTTGTTCCCTAGCTCTGTTCCATGAGAGGGCTTGGAAACAGCAATGGCACAAAACAATGAGCATGCCTACTGCCCAGATCTTGGTTTCTAAATACCATTTTCTGCTAAAAGAGATCAGATCTTAGAGAAAAAGCCCTTTGCAGGGTTAGTGCAGAGGAAATAAACTGGACAAATCAAAACTGTGTGACACCTGATAAGATGCAAGAAGAAGACAATCTCTCTTTTGTGGTTTTCTTGCCAAAAAGGTACAATCTAAATCTAATAAAAAGGAAACATCAGGCAAACCCAAATTGAGGAATGGTCTACAAAATAACTGACCTGAAATCTTAAAAAATGTTAAAGTAATTAAAGTCAAGAAAGACAAACTTGTAAGAGTGGTGGAGACTAAAGAGATGTAACAAAATGCAATGTGAGCACTTGACTATGAAGGACATTGATGGGACAACTGGCAACTTGAACAGGGTCTGTAGGTTAGATGGTAATATATCAGCGTTAATTTCCCGATGTTGATCACTGTGTTGTGGTTAAGTAAAAGAATGTCCTGGTTTGTAGAAATGACACACTGAAGCCTTTAAGATCGTGGGGCATCACTGACTCCATGGCTCAGGGAAAAAGGTTCTTTGTACTTTTTTTGCAACTTTTCCTGTAAGTTTGGAATTATTTCAAAATTTAGAAATTCAAAATAGAATTATAAAAGTAATATTTTTCATAATAAACAAGGGTAGCCTTTGTTAAAAAATCAGAAAAGCTGATATCAAAGTTCATTCTCTTAAGTGGACTTAAAGAATAATTAGCTCCAAAAGAAAAGATGTGCCAAGTAAGATGTTTTTCTCTTAGAAAATGGAAATTTAACTTCTAAATTTACTTCACATAACTCACAAATGTACACCGGTTATCTTACTTGGAAATTTTTCATTTTGCCAATTTTATATTCTCTTGACTTTTCCAGGTATCCAGAGTTGATGTTTTTCCTAAAATAAACCACAGACTATATTTGGGACAAAGAGATACTAAGAAGTACAAAGGGCTCTTTCTCTAAGTGTTATGAAAAAGACTTCGAATTTAAATAAAGCTTACAAAGAAATCATAAAACTAATTTTAAAATGCTTTTATGTAGGCAAAAGGGAAATTGTAGCACTCTCACTACTTAATATTCCCAGTTCTGCCTGAAACAAAGACAAACATTAATTTTTTACAATCTTTGTCTCAAAATTCTATGAACATTTGGAAGAAGTATTTAAAGCTAATGCTTACTCTTTGCTTGAAATTTTGTATAATCTCAGGAATCGAAATTTAAGGAATAGAAGTCTTCTCATTTCAGTTTGCTAAGCACGTTCTTCATTCTTACACATTACAGGTCCACTGAATTCAAAGCTAAGCCAAAAATACCATGCGAAAGACTGCCTCCTAAACTATTTAAGTCTCTTTTGTAGCAAAATTTTCCCAGAAACTGAGAAACATCCACACAGAAAATCTTACCTTTTTATCAAAAGTTTATTTGTTATCCTTTTCTCATTTTCTGGGCATTTCAATGCATTGGCATTGACAATAGTGAAAAAAGCATTTGCTGTTATTCACATATCAAACACATGGTTTCAACGTGGTATGAAACCATGTTGGTTCCAACGTGGCTGACTCCTTTGTGTCCATTAAAACCATTTTCCTCATATCTAAAGTGAATCTTGGTATCTGTGATTTATGTTTAATACAGAGATGGGAAACGGTGAGTAATCTAATACTAGTCAAGTTACATGTATTCTTAAAAAAAGCTCAAATAGTTGAATTAGGGTGATGGAAATTATACTCAAATCTGAAATTGTAATAAGGCTCCTTTCTGAAATTTAATGACCCATTCATTTTTTTTAGGTTTAGCTTAATGTTTTTCCTCTTTGTAATACCAACTGAGCTTTAACTTAATAACAAATGGTAACTATATAAGATTGCATTAAATAGTCTTGGGCTATTTTTTGGTGAGCTCTTTGATTTGGTAACTACATTCCAAAAGTTAATTCTCAGTTACGTGAGTTTAAATGGCATCCATAGCTGCCCCTTCACACAAACAGGTGTTCAATAATAGGGCTTATTAGAAAGACCCTGGAGACCAAGAAACTTCAGTTCTAGTCCTCAATATAGAAGTAGCTAACAATTTTGGATAAGTCATTTAACTTCTAGTCTTTGGTTTCCATATTTATAAAATGGAGACAATATCCTATCTACTTTAGTAAGGTATCATTAAAATGTTTATAATTGGATAATATATTGAAGTATTCTGAAATAATATCAGTTCTTCTTTGTTTAGCATTCTCAATTTTTCAAATTCTTAACCCTGGGATTGAAGTTATTAAAGGCACTTGTTTCTCCTTATTTAAAAGATTTATTAAAGGCTCCTACCATGGCATGCCTTGGTTCCTATGGTTTTACTTTCCCTCCACAGGAAAAATGTATTGACAATTTTAGATTGTCAAAATTCTTCCTTAATGAAAGTATTAATGAGAATTATTTCATTATTCATAGTTTGGTTAAGATTTATGACAAATCACAGCCAAAAGTACTTCATTGGTAATAGCTCGTTTGAGGCTTCCTGGGAAAAATAATAATGTCAGATTTGCATTTGCAATCTTAGAATATTATAGGATATTATGCTGCATAAATCTAGATGTAACTTTTATTCAGATAATTTTTAAAAATTAGAACATGATTTTAAAGGTAGTATGTCTCTTGTGGAGGGAAATCTTGCTGAAATTAAAGCTTCTTAAGAGAGAGTGTGTTCTGTTTGTGTACCTCTCTAAATGAAAGAATTAAGGAGAATTATTTCATTATTCATAGTTTGGTTTGTGGGGGTGAGAGAGGGAATGAGAAAAATCGTAAGACATCCGTGGAACAATTTAACACAAAATATACACATATATAGATCCTGAGATGTTACAACAAATTAACAATTATATAGATCAACATGATCCAAATGGTTTCCAAGACACCGTTATGGTGGGTAAACAGCCATTTTACGGCGTGTGCTCCGTGGATGTCCACACCATGCCAGGAAAACCCTACGCTTTGTCTCCAACTTTGAAAGCTAGTCATCCAGAGCAGGTGGCCAGTCAACATCTACAGACTAGAAGGGAGACAAGAAGTCATTAAAACAGATATTGCTGTTGTGGTAAGCATTTGCTGGTAATGCTGTATAAATGTAATAGTTTTAATATAATGCAACAGAAGAAACTGCATTTGAAGAAAAGAGCTATTGAATACCATAAATGAACACCGTCAAGTCTGTTCTAGGGATTCTTGGACCTGAGATCTTCTGAATTAATTGAGTAGCAGTATTTGGCTACTCAGTTGGTTATTAATTGTGCTTTTTGACTGACAAGAGAATACATTTAAAAATTTTAAATGGTATTTATGGGGCCAGACATGGTGGCTCACACCTTTAATCCCAGCACTTTGGGAGGCCGAGGTGGGCAGATCACTCATGGTCAAGAGTTCAAGACCAGCCTGGCCAACATGGCAAAACCCCGTCTCCACTAAAAATACAAAATTTAGCTGAGCATGGTGGCACACGCCTGTAGTCCCAGCTACTCGGGAGGCTGAGGCAGGAGAATAGCTTGAGCCCAGGAGGCAGAGGTTGCAGTGAGCCAAAATCATGCCATGGCACTCCAGCCTGGGCGACAGAATGAGACTCCATCTCAAAAAAAAAAAAAAAAATGGTATTTATGGGTCAAAGTAGCAAACAAATTCAAGTGACTACACCAATTTTCCCTCAGAAGTCTCAGAAACTTTCATTCTTCTGATCATTTTCATTCTCTCATCTTGCATTGAACAAATATTCAAGTAGTCTATACGCCTATAAGTCTTGTTTGCAACATAGCAACAAAATGTGAAATAAATGATTATGAAAGATGACCTGGAACTAGAAAAGGATTAAGGATCTTTGTGCTTCACTTCTGTAGAATTTCTGTTTCTTTAAAATCCAGTTCATCTATCTCTACTTACCTTTATTTTGTTCTTCTAGGACAAAACCTTGACCTTTGAGTCAGAATGAAATTACAGTAAACAGACTATTTGTCTCCACATAAACACATACCAGGTCTATCAAAGGCTAGAGGATCTACTTTAAGAGAAAGTTAAAACAAAACAAAAAAAACCCCACTGTATCTGTGGTTTTTATTGACATTTAAAGTTTAAAACGTGAAATTATTTACTGAAAATTTCTTCATTAATCCATGAGTCACTTCATGTACTGGCTTCAAAAAAAATTTATTAGAAAAGCCTACAAGCTACGTGTGTGTGTGTCTTTTACAAATCTCAAGAAGATATTTTGGTTCTGTTTCAGAATATAGCCATATACCAAACACCCAAATGTAAATTAATGAGTGTTTTCTCAAGCTGAAAATAAAACATGACTGATCACAATCTCTGTGTGTGTGGAGGGAGGCATGTTGTAGTGCTTACAAAGCTCCACAGTGATTCCAGTGGGCAGTCAGTGTTGAGAAACACTGGCCTGTGAGTCTTTGACACTCCTAACTGTTCTGAGAATTAAGGAAAAAAAAGATTAATGCAAGCCTGGGCAACATGGTGAGACCGCATCTCAACAACAACAAAAGCCAGGCATAGTGGCTCATGCCTGTGGTCCCAGCTACTCGGGAGACTGAGGCAGGAGGACTGCTTGAGCCTGGGAGGTCAGGGTTGCAGTGAGCCGTGATCGCACCACTGCACTCCAGCCTGGGTGACAGAGCAAGACCCTGTCTCAAAAAAAAAAAAAAAAAAAAAGGAAAAAAAGAATGGAGTAGAGATTTTTCTTTAACAGAAGTTGTCTTCCTCCAAATGACAGTTTCACTGAAGAGGCTCCCTGAAACCTTGAGGGCACGATCACTGGCTATACTGCAGGAGCTAATCTAATCCCAGAGCACTTGAGAGAACTGCTGGTAAGGAAATACTACTCCAGTGATCATTTGATTACCATAGATGTTTTCACATTGGGCAACTATGCCCACTTCTTTCTGTAACTTTGATATTATTCCCAAGTACAAATCCCCAAGTCCTAAGATTCTGGGGAGAGTAGTGGGGGAGGTACTCTATTCCTAGTCAGATTTTCATGAAGAAACACCACTTATGACTCAACACTTACTGATACTCAAATGAAATATTTATGGAGACTTGCCCGACAGAACCATTCTTACAATTATTTAGAATTTAACCTTGTTTCAATTCAGACTATAAGAGCAGAGAACTTGGACCACATCACAGGGGTCCTTATAGAACTGCTTTTATGAAGAAACACTGGCTCACCTCACTTTCTACCCTTGTGAATCAATGTTTCTGAATCGGTTGCTTTAAAGTCTATAAAACGCAACAGGTATGGGAATGAATTCTCTAGAGTCCAAAGGACATATGGAGAACACTTACAACTTTATTTCCTTGCTTGGTTTAAGGGTTTAGATTTGATAAAGCTCAGTTAGTAAATTAGCTATATATTTGCAAGGAACATGAGACTTCGTATTAAAAACAAACAAACAAAAAAATCCAAAGACAGTCCCGCCCTTCAATACAATGTTACTGTGAGATTTTCACCATTCTCAAATACCTATGGAGGTGGGTAGTACTAAAAC